CTGTTAAGGATTGGCTTTCCAGTTCCTTCTAAAATCTTTCTCTTTCACTCCCAGTAGCCCCTTGCATCTTTGTGGCATTATCACCTTGCAGAAGTAGAGATTTATCCCTTGTTTCCTGTTAAGGATTGGCTTTCCAGTTCCTTCTAAAATCTTTTTTTCTTTCTCTCCCAGTAGCCCCTTGCATCTTAGTGGCATTATCACCTTGCAGAAGTCCCTTGTTTCCTGTTAAGGATTGGCTTCCCTTGTTTTTCTCTTCCCAGTCAACCCTTGCATCTTAGTCATTTCCTTGCAGAAGTAAATTTATCCTTTTGTTTCCTGTTTAGGATTGGCTTTCAGTTCCTTCTAAAATCTTTCCTTTTCACTCCCAGTAGCCCCTTGCATCTTAGTATCACCTTGCAGAAGTAGAGATTTATCCCTTTGTTTCCTGTTAAGGATTGGCTTTCCAGTTCCTTCTAAAATCTTTCTCTTTCACTCCCAGTAGCCCTTGCATCTTAGTGGCATTATCACCCTTTGCAGAAGTAGAGGTTTATCCTTGTTTCCTGTTATGATTGGCTTTCTGTTCTTTCTAAAATCTTTCTTTTCACTCCCAGTAGCCCCTTGCATCTTAGTGGCATTATTATTTTATCCCTTGTTTCTGTTTAGGATTGGCTTTCAGTTCCTTCTAAAATCTTTCTCTTTCACTCCCAGTAGCCCCTTGCATCTTAGTGGCATTATCACCTTGCAGCAGAAGTAGAGATTTATCCCTTGTTTCCTGTTAAGGATTGGCTTTCCAGTTCCTTCTAAAATCTTTCTCTTTCACTCCCAGTAGCCCTTTGCATCTTAGTGGCATTTCATCACCTTGCAGAAGTAGAGATTTATCCTTTGTTTCCTGTTTAGGATTGGCTTTCACAGTTCCTTCTAAAATCTTTTCTCTTTTCACCCCCAGTAGCCCTTGCATCTTTTGTGGCATTATCACCTTGCAGAAGTAGAGATTTATCCCTTGTTTCCTGTTAAGGATTGGCTTTCCAGTTCCTTCTAAAATTCTTTCTCTTTCACTCCCAGTAGCCCTCTTGCATCTTAGTGGCATTATCACCTTGCAGAAGTAGAGGTTTATCCTTTGTTTCCTGTTCATAGGATTGGCTTTCCAGTTCCTTCTAAAATCCTTTTCTTTTTGATCATTATCCCAGTAGCCCTTGCATCTTAGTGGCATTATCACCTTGCAGAAGTAGAGATTTATCCTTGTTTCCTGTTATGGATTGGCTTTCCAGTTCCTTCTAAAATCTTTCTCTTTCACTCCCAGTAGCCCTCTGCATCTTAGTGGCATTATCACCTTGCAGAAGTAGAGATTTATCCCTTGTTTCCTGTTAAGGATTGGCTTTTTCAGTTCCTTCTAAAATCTTTCTCTTTCATCTCCCAGTAGCCCTTGCATCTTTTCATGGCATTATCACCTTGCAGAAGTAGAGATTTATCCCTTGTTTCCTGTTAAGATTGGCTTTCCAGTTCCTTCTAAAATCTTTTTTGTCTTTCCTCCCAGTAGCCCCTTGCATCTTTTAGGCATTATCACCTTGCAGAAGTAGAGATTTATCCTTGTTTCCTGTTAAGGATTGGCTTTCAGTTCCTTCTAAAATCTTTTCTCTTTCTCCCAGTAGCCCCTTGCATCTTAGTACATTATCACCTTGCAGAAGTAGAGATTTATCCCTTGTTTCCTGTTTTTGTTGGCTTTCTCAGTTCCTTCTAAAATTTTCTTTTTCCAGTAGCCCCTTGAATCTTTGTGGCATTATTACCTTGCAGAAGTAGGTTTATCCTTGTTTTTTAGTTGGCTCTATTCTTCTAAAATCTCCTTTCCTTTCTCTCTACAGTTCTCCCCGTCATCTTAGTACACATGCCATTAAAACCAAGAGGTTTATCCCATGCTGACTCTGTTTAAAATTAAAACTAATTTCCAACTAAACCTGGATCCTTTCAATTTTCTCTTTTCCTGTTATTGGTGAAGTATCCTTTTGTCTTTTCATTCCTTTGTCTCTCTCAAATCTTTTCTCTTCTCTCCGTCCTTCTAGCCCTTGCATCTTAGTGGCATTATTACCTTGCAGAAGTAGAGATTTATCCCTTGTTTCCTTACTTAGATTGGCTTTCCAGTTCCTTCTAAAATCTTTCTCTTTCAATCCAGTAGCCCCTGCATCTTAGTGGCATTATTTACCTTGCAGAAGTAGAGATTTATCCTTGTTTTCTCTTTTAAAATCATTGGCTTTCCAGTTCCTTCCTGAATCTTAAATCTTTTTTGTTTCATTTACTCCCAGTAGCCCTCTTTCCATCTTCTAGTGGCATTTCATCAAGCCATCAGTTTTTTGTTTTGCTCAGAAGTAGAATCCTGAATCATTTATCCTTTTGTTTCCTGTTATGATTGGCTTTCCAGTTCCTTCTAAAATCTTTCTCTTTCCCGTCCCAGTAGCCCTTGCCCATCTTAGTGGCATTATCACCTTGCAGAAGTAAAAGAATTTATCCCTTGTTTCCTGTTATCAGGATTGGCTTTCCTTTTCCTTTCTAAAATCTTTCTCTCCGTCCTTCATCTCATTATCCCCTTGCAGAAGTAGCCCCTTTTTTGCATCTTCTAAAATTAAACTAATTTCAAATAATGGCATTATTACCTTGCAGAAGCCATCAGATTTATCCCTTGTTTCCTGTTTAGGATTGGCTTTCCAGTTCCTTCTAAAATCTTTCTCTTTCAACTCCCTGAGTCGAAAATGACCTTGCATCTTAGTGGCATTATTCTGTTTCTTTCTTGCAGAAGTTTATCCTCTCGTTTCCTCTCTAGATTGGCCCCCGTCAGTTAAAATCCCTTGTTTCCTGTTTAAAACATTATTCGAAAGAAGTAGATCATTTATCCTTTGTCTGTTTCATTTCCTTCTCTCTCAAATCTTTCTCTTTCTCTCTCCCAGTCTCCCCTTGCATCTTAGTCACACATTATCACCTTGCAGAAGTAGAGTTTATCCCTTGTTTTCCTGTTGTATAATTTAAAACTTTTCAGTTCCTTCTAAAATCTTTCTCTTTCACTCCTTTTGTCTGTTTCATTTGCATCTTAGTGGCATTATTACCTTTGCAGAAGTAGAGATTTATCCCTTGTTTCTCCCCACACACACATATTGGCTTTCCAGTTCCTTCATCAATTTTTTTCTTTCACTCCCAGTAGCCTCTGTATATCTTAGTGGCAATTTCATTCACCTTGCAGAAGTAGAGATTTATCCCTTGTTTCCTGTTATTTCATTTCTTGTCTCTTCCAAAATCTTTTCTTTTCTCTCCGTCCTTCTCTCTTTAAGTCCCGTCACCTTTGCAGAAGCCCAGAAATTTATCAGTTTTTTCCTGTTAGTTGGCTTTTCAGTTCCCTAAAAAATTCATCTTAGTGGCATTATTACCTTGCAGATCATTAGAGATTTATCCTTGTTTCTGTTATTTACTTGGTCTTTCACAGTTCCTTCTTTCTCTCTTTTCTCTCTTTCTCCCAGTAGCCCTTGCATCTTAGTGGCATTATCACCTTGCAGAAGTTTTTTGATTTATCCCTTGTTTCTCTGTTAAAATTGGCTTTTCCAGTTCCTTCTGAATCATTTTCTTTCATTATTGGTAGCCTTTTGTCTGTTTCATTTACATTGTCTCTCTCCTAGAGATTTCTCTCTCTCCCGAGTCTTTCTCCCCGTTTCCAGTTTCCTCTTTTCTGTTTCTCTTCATAGCTGACTTTCCAGTTCCTTCTAAAATCATTATCTTTCCTTTTGTCTGTTTTCTCTTCTCTCTTGATCTGAATTCCCTTTCTTTTCCCCCCAGCTAATCTTTTACCTTAGTAGATTTTTATCCTTTTGTTTCATTTACTTTGTGGCATTTTTCTGTCCTTCTCTCTTTCTCCCGTCTTGCAGAAAGCCATCAGTGGCATTACTCTTCAGCTGACTCTGTAAATTTATCCTTGTTTCCTGAATCGAAAATGATTGTTTGATCATTATTGGTCCTTTTGTCTGTTTCATTTACTCTTGTCTCTCTCACCAATCTTTTCTCTTTCTCTCGTCCTTCTCTCTCTACACTTCTCCCCGTCATTATACATACATGCCCAAGCCATCAGTTTTTTTTGTTACTCTTCATAGCTGACTCTGTATAAAAATCAAAAACTAATTTCAACTAAACCTGAATTGCAATTTAGTGGCATTATTGGTGTATCCTTTTGAAGTAGAGATTTATCTTGTCTCTCTGTTCTTTTCTCTTTTCTCCGTCCTTCTCTCTAAAATTCTCCCCGTCACACACACACTTTGCCAGAAAGCCATCAGTTTTTTGTGTTACTTAGTGGCTCTGTATAAAAATTAAAACTAATTTCAACTAAATTTATCCTTGTTTCCTGTAGATCATTATTGTGTATCCTTTTGTCTGTTTCATTTACTCTTTCTCTCTCTTGAATCTTTTCTCTTTCTCTCCTGGCCTTCTCTCTCTTTTCTCCCCGAAGTAGACATTATCCTTGTGTTACTGTTTAATTGTATCAGTTTTTGTTTTTGTCTTCCCCAGTAGCTCTTTCTCTCCGACTCTGTATAAAATCTTTTCAACTAAGTGGCATCAAAAAAGTCTGTAGCAGAATTATTGGTGTATCCTTTTTTCTGTTTCATTTACTTGGCTTGTCTCTCTCAAAATCTTTTCTCTTTCTCTCCGTCCTTCTCTCTTAGTGGCTTCTCCCCAGTCACAGATTTATCCTTCATGTTTCTGTTAAGGATCAGTTTTTTGTAAACTCTTCATTTTCACCTCTGTAAAATTAAAACTAATTTCAAATAATCCTGCAATCGAAAAGATTTATCATTATTTCAAATTCCTCCTTTTGATTGTTTCATTTCTCTTGTCTCTCAAATCTTTTTCTCTTTCTCTCCCAGTAGCCTTCTCTCTCTTAGTGGCATTCTCCCCGTTGCAGAAGTAGAGATTTATCCCATCAGTTTTCCTGTTACTCTTAGCTTTCTCTGTTCCTTCTAAAATCTTTCTAATCTTTCAAAATTTCGCTGTAGATCATTATTGCATCCTTTTGTCTGTTTCATTTACCTTGTCTCTCTAGAGATTTTTCTCTTTCTCTCCGTTATCTCTCAGTTCCCCGTCAAATTTTTTTTACACATCCCAGTAGCCATCAGTTTTTTGTGTTATCTTCATAGTGGCATTAAACCTGAATCAAAAATTACGGTGTTGATCATTAGAGTATTTAGTCTGTTTCATTTACTCTTGTCTCTCTTCCTTCTCTTTTCTCTTTCTCTCCTCCTTCTCTCATCTTAGTGGCTTCTCCCCTTTCAGACATAGAGATTTATCCTTGTTTCCTGTTAAATTGGCATCAGTTTTCTAAAATCTTTCTCTTTCTTCATAGTAGACTCTGTGCAAAAATTAAAACTAATTTCAACCTAAACCTGAATCGTAAAGATTTAGATCATTATTGGTTTCCTTTTTGTCTGTTTCATTTTACTCTTGTCTCTCTCACCGAATCTTTTCTCTTTCTCTCCGTCTTCTCTCTACACTTCTCCCCGTCACACATACGTGCCCATAAAACCATCAGTTTTTGTGTTTACTCTTCATAGCTGACTCTGTTATAAAACTAATTTCAACTAAACCTGAATCAGAAGTAGAGATCATTATTGGTGTATCCTTTTTGTCTGTTTCATTTTCTTGTCTCTCTCACCGAATCTTTTCTCTTTCTCTCCGTCCTTCTCTCTCTACACTTCTCCCCGTCAACATACGCACACCCAGAGATTTAACCCTCAGTTTTTGTGTTACTCTTCATAGCTTTCAGTCTGTATAAAATTAAAACTAATTTCAACTAAACCTGAATCCCAAAAATTACGCTGTGTTGATCATTATTGGTGTATCCTTTTGTCTGTTTCATTTTATCTCTTGTCTCTCTCACCGAATCTTTTCTCTTTCTCTCCCGTTCTCTTCTTCTCTCATCTTAGTTTCTCCCCAGTTTCTTTATCCATTCAGTACTGTTTTTTTTGGATTTATCCTTGTTTTTGTTTACTCTTGGCTAAAATCTTTCTCTCTGTCCTAAAAATTAAAAACCCCTTTCATCTTCAGTGGCATTATTACCTTTTGCAATTAAGTAGAGTTTATCCTTTTGTCTGTTTCATTTACTCTTGTCTCTCTCAGTTCTTTTCTCTTTCTCTCCTTCCTTCTCTCTCTACACTTCTCCCCGTCACATTACGCACCATGGCCTAAAAACCATCAGTTTTCCCTTTACTCTTCATAGCTGACTCTGTGCAAAAAATTAAAACTAATTTCAACTAAACCTGAATCAGAAAATTACGCTTAGATCATTATTGGTGTATCCTTTCTAAAAATCTTTCTCTTTCTCTCCTTCCCCTTTCATTTACTCTTGTCTCTCTGTATCCCAACTAAACCTGAATCTTTTCTTATTCTTTCACTCTTTTGTCTCTTTACTCTTGTCTCTCTCACCGAGATTTCTTTCTCTCCGAGGATTCACTTATCCCCGTCACACATACGTTTCCACATGGCCAAAAACCATCAGTTTTTGTGTTACTCTTCATAGCTGACTCTGTATAAAAATTAAAACTAATTTCAACTAAACCTGAATCGAAAATTACGCTGTAGATCATTATTGGTGTATCCTTTTACCTCTGTTTCATTTTACTCTTGTCTCTCTCACCGAATCTTTTTCTTTCTCTCCGTCCTTCTCTCTCCACACTTCTCCCCGTCACACATACGCACACATTGCAGAAAGAGATTCAGTTTTTGTGTTTACTCTTCATAAGGCTGACTCTGTATAAAAATTAAAACTAATTTCAACTAAACCTGAATCGAAAATGACGCTGTAGATCATTATTGGTGTATCCTTTTGTCTGTTTCATTTACTCTTGTCTCTCTCACCGAATCTTTTCTCTTTCTCTCCGTCCTTCTCTCTCTACACTTCTCCCGTCACACAAGTACACATTTATCACAAAACCATCAGTTTAAAAACATCAGTTTTTGTGTTACTCTTCATAGCTGACTCTGTATAAAATTAAAACTAATTTCAACTAAACCTGAATCACCGAAATTTTCGCTGTAGATCATTATTGTTGTATCCTTTTTGTCTGTTTCATTTACTCTTGTCTCTCTCACCGAATCTTTTCTCTTTCCTCCTCTCCTTTTCTCCTTCTCTCTCTACATGGCCATAAACCATCTTTTTGTGTTACCTTCATAGCTGACTCTGTATAAAAATTAAAACTAATTTCAACAAACCTGGATCGAAAATTACGGTTTAGAAAATTTAATCATCAGTTTTTCTTTTTTTCCTTCCTTCTTCTACACTTCTCCCCGTCACTGACTCTGTTTTTTTGTGTTACATAAAAAAATTTAAAACTAATTTCAACTAAACCTGAATCGAAAATTACGCTGTAGATCATTATTGGTGTATCCTTTTGTCTGTTTCATTTTTCTCTTTCTTGTCTCTCTCTACACTTCTCCCCTCAATCTTTTCTCTTTTTCTCTCCGTCCTTCTCTCTCGAAAATTACAGATCATCTCCCTGTCATTTACTCATCTTTTCTCTTTCTCTCGTCCTTCTCTCCCTACACTTCTTTCCATCAGTTTTTTTTGTGTTACTCTTCATAGCTGACTCTGTATAAAAAATTAAAACTAATTTCAACTAAACCTGAATCGAAAATGACGCTGTAGATCATTATTGGTGTATCCTTTTGTCTGTTTCATTTACTCTTGTCTCTCTCACAGAATCTTTTCTCTTTCTCTCCTTCCTTCTCTCTCTACACTTCTCCCCGTCACACATACGTACACATGCCCAGAAAACCATCAGTTTTTGTGTTACTCTTCATAGCTGACTCTGTGCAAAATTAAAACTAATTTCAACTAAACCTGAATCGAAAATTACGCTGTAGATCATTATTGGTGTATCCTTTTGTCTGTTTCATTTACTCTTGTCTCTCTCACCGAATCTTTTCTCTTTCTCTCCGTCCTTCTCTCTCTACACTTCTCCCCCGTCACACATACGCACACATGGCCATCCTTGTTGTTTAAACCATCAGTTTTTTGTTACTCTTCATAGCTGACTCTGTGCAAAATTAAAAAATAAAACTAATCAACTAAACCTGAATCGAAAATTACGCTGTAGATCATTATTGTGTATCCTTTTGTCTGTTTCATTTACTCTTGTCTCTCTCACCGAATCTTTTCTCTTTCTCTCCCTTCTCTCTCTACACTTCTCCCCGTCACACATACGTACACATGCCCACAAAACCATCAGTTTTTTTTGTTACTCTTCATAGCTGACTCTGTATAAAAATTAAAACTAATTTCAACTAAACCTGAATCGAAAATTACGCTGTAGATCATTATTGGTGTATCCTTTTGTCTGTTTCATTTACTCTTGTCTCTCTCACCGAATCTTTTCTTTCTTTCTCTCTCTACACTTCTCCCTCTACACATCTCCCGTTTCACACATGGCCAAACTTGGATCAAAACCATCAGTTTTTTCTGTTACTCTTCATAGCTGACTCTGTATAAAAATTAAAACTAATTTCAACTAAACCTGAATCAGAAAATTACGCTGTAGATCATTATTGAATCGTGTATCCTTTTTTGTCTGTTTTACTCTTGTTTCTCACCGAATCTTTTTCTTGTCTCTCCTCACCGAATTCTTTTCTCTTTCTCTCCGTCCTTTTTCTGTTACTCTTCATAGCTCTCCCGTCAAAACTAATTTCAACTAAAACCAATCGAAAATTACGCTGTAAAGCCATCATTTTTTGTCTCTCTCAGAATTTTTTCTTTCTCTTTCTAGCTGACTCTGTCATAAAATTAAAAACCATCAGTTTTTCAACTTCAAACCTGAATCGAAAATTAAAACTAATTTCATCATTATTGATCATTATATCCTTTTTGTCTGTTTCATTTACTCTTGTCTCTCTCACCGAATCTTTTCTCTTTCTCTCCGTCCTTCTCTCTCTACACTTCTCCCCCTTTGTCACACATACGTACACATGGCCAGAAAACCATCAGTTTTTTGTTTACTCTTCATAGCTGACTCTGTATAAAAATTAAAACTAATTTCAACTAAACCTGAATCGAAAATTACGCTGTAGATCATTATTGGTGTATCCTTTTGTCTGTTTCATTTTACTCTTGTCTCTCTCACCGAATCTTTTCTTTTCTCTTTCTCTCCTTCCTCTCACTTCTCTACACTTCTCCCCATCAGTTTTCTGTTACTCTTCATAGCTGATCTGTGCAAAATTAAAACCTTTCAACTAAAAATCCATCAGTTTTTGTGTTTATCCTTTTGTCTTTTCATTTAGTCTCTCTCACAGAATCTTTTCTGTTTCTCTCCGTAAAACATTAAAACTAAAACCATCAGTTTTTTCCTGTTACTTCAAAAAATTAAAACTGAATCCTGAATCGAAAAATTACGCTGTAGATCATTATTGGTGTATCCTTTTGTCTGTTTCATTTACTCTTGTCTCTCTCACCTGAATCTTTTCTCTTTCTCTCCGTCCTTCTCTCTCTACACTTCTCCCGTCACACATACGCACACATGCCCAGAAAACCATCAGTTTTTGTGTTACTCTTCATAGCTGACTCTGTATAAAATTAAAACTAATTTCAACTAATCCTGAATCGAAAATTACGCTGTAGATCATTATTGGTGTATCCTTTTGTCTGTTTCATTTACTCTTGTCTCTCTCACCGAATCTTTTCTCTTTCTCTCGTCCTTCTCTCTCTACACTTCTCCCCGTCACACAAATACGCACATTAAGTAATGGCCAAAACCCATCCGTTTTCTGTTTGGCTCTTCAAACCATCAGTTTTTTTTACTCTTCATAGCTGAAAAAATCTGTTAAAACTCTGTATAAAATTAAAACTAATTTCAACTAAACCTGAATCGAAAATGACGCTGTAGATCATTATTGGTGTATCCTTTTGTCTGTTTCATTTACTCTTGTCTCTCTCACCGAATCTTTTCTCTTTCTCTCCGTCCTTCTCTCTCTACACTTCTCCCCGTCACACATACGTACACATGCCAGAAAACCATCAGTTTTTGTGTTACTCTTCATAGCTGACTCTGTATAAAAAATTAAAACTAATTTCAACTAATCCTGAATCGAAAATTACGCTGTAGATCATTATTGGTGTATCCTTTTGTCTGTTTCATTTTACTCTTGTCTCTCTCACCGAATCTTTTCTCTTTCTCTCCGTCCTTCTCTCTCTACACTTCTCCCCGTCACACATACGTACACATGCCCAGAAACCATCAGTTTTTGTGTTACTCTTCATAGCTGACTCTGTATAAAAATTAAAACTAATTTCAACTAATCCTGAATCGAAAATGACGCTGTAGATCATTATTGGTGTATCCTTTTGTCTGTTTCATTTACTCTTGTCTCTCTCACCGAATCTTTTCTCTTTCTCTCCGTCCTTCTCTCTCTACACTTCTCCCCGTCACACATACGTACACATGGCCATTAAAACCATCAGTTTTTTGTTTACTCTTCATAGCTGACTCTGTATAAAAAATTAAAACTAATTTCAACTAATCCTGAATCGAAAATGACGCTGTAGATCATTATTGGTGTATCCTTTTGTCTGTTTCATTTACTCTTGTCTCTCTCACCGAATCTTTTCTCTTTCTCTCCGTCCTTCTCTCTCTACACTTCTCCCCGTCACACATACGCACACATGGCCACAAAACCATCAGTTTTTTGTGTTACTCTTCATAGCTGACTCTGTATAAAAATTAAAACTAATTTCAACTAAACCTGAATCGAAAATGACGCTGTAGATCATTATTGGTGTATCCTTTTGTCTGTTTCATTTACTCTTGTCTCTCTCACCGAATCTTTTCTCTTTTCTCTCCGTCCTTCTCTCTACACTTCTCCCCGTCACACATACTGCCCCCCAGTTTTTTGTGTTACTCTTCATAGCTGACTCTGTATAAAATTAAAACTAATTTCAACTAATCCTGAATCGAAAATGACCATCATTATTGGTTTCCTTTTGTCTGTTTCATTTACTCTTGTCTCTCTCACTGAATCTTTTCTCTTTCTCCCGTCCTTCTCTCTACTTCTCCCCGTCACACATACGTACACATGCCAGAAAGCCATCAGTTTTTTTGTGTTACTCTTCATAGCTGACTCTGTATTTAAAACTAATTTCAACTAATCCTGAATCGAAAATGACGCTGTAGATCATTATTGGTGTATCCTTTTGTCTGTTTCATTTACTCTTGTCTCTCTCTCACCGAATCTTTTCTCTTTCTCTCCGTCCTTCTCTCTCTACACTTCTCCCCGTCACACATACGCACACATGCCCAGAAAACCATCAGTTTTTTGTGTTACTCTTCATAGCTGACTCTGTATAAAATTAAAACTAATTTCAACTAATCCTGAATCGAAAATTACGTTGTAGATCATTATTGGTGTATCCTTTTTTTCTCTGTTTCATTTTCTCTCTTGTCTCTCTCACCCAAAATCTTTTCTCTTTCTCTCCGTCCTTCTCTCTCTACACTTCTCCCCGTCACACATACGTTTTTTGTCTCTCTCACCAGAATCCATGCCCAGAAAGCCATCAGTTTTTTGTGTTACTCTTCATAGCTGACTCTGTATAAAAATTAAAACTAATTTCAACTAATCCTGAATCGAAAATGACGCTGTAGATCATTATTGGTGTATCCTTTTGTCTGTTTCATTTACTCTTGTCTCTCTCACCGAATCTTTTCTCTTTCTCCCGTCCTTCTCTCTCTGTACACTTCTCCCCTGTCACACATACGTACACATGCCCATTTTTCTCTTGTCCATCACCGAATTTTTTCTTTTCTCTCTGCTACTTCTTCATAGCTGACTCTGTTTTTCCCCCGTGTAAAAAAATTAAAACTAAAACTTTCAACTAAACCTGAATCGAAAATGACGCTGTAGATCATTATTGGTGTATCCTTTTGTCTGTTTCATTTACTCTTGTCTCTCTCACCGAATCTTTTCTCTTTCTCTCGTCCTTCTCTCTCTACACTTCTCCCCGTCACACATACGCACACATGGCCATAAAACCATCAGTTTTTTGTGTTACTCTTCATAGCTGACTCTGTATAAAAATTAAAAACTAAATCGAAAATGACGCTGTAGATCATAATCCTGAATCGAAAATTTTTCGCTTTAGATCATTATTGGTGTTTTCCTTTTCATAGCTGTCTGTTTCATTTTCACTCTTGTCTCTCTCACCGAATCTTTTCTTTCTTTCTCTCTCCGTCCTTCTTTCTCTCCGTACTTCTCTCTCTTCTCCCCCGTCACACATACGTACACATGCCCAGAAAAACCATCAGTTTTTTGTGTTACTCTTCATAGCTGACTCTGTATAAAAATTAAAACTAATTTCAACTAATCCTGAATCGAAAATTACGCTGTAGATCATTATTGGTGTATCCTTTTGTCTGTTTCATTTACTCTTGTCTCTCTCACCGAATCTTTTCTCTTTCTCTCCGTCCTTCTCTCTCTACACTTCTCCCCGTCACACATACGTACACATGCCCAGAAAAATTAAAACATCAGTTTTTTGTTTACTCTTCATAGCTGACTCTGTATAAAAATTAAAACTAATTTCAACTAATCCTGAATCGAAAATGACGCTGTAGATCATTATTGGTGTATCCTTTTGTCTGTTTCATTTACTCTTGTCTCTCTCACCGAATCTTTTCTCTTTCTCTCCGTCCTTCTCTCTCTACACTTCTCCCCGTCACACATACGTACACATGCCCAGAAAGCCATCAGTTTTTTGTTTACTCTTCATAGCTGACTCTGTATAAAAATTAAAACTAATTTCAACTAAACCTGAATCGAAAATGACGCTGTAGATCATTATTGGTGTATCCTTTTGTCTGTTTCATTTACTCTTGTCTCTCTCACCGAATCTTTTCTCTTTCTCTCCGTCCTTCTCTCTCTACACTTCTCCCCGTCACACATACGCACACATGGCCACAAAACCATCAGTTTTCTGTTACTCTTCATAGCTGACTCTGTATAAAATTAAAACTAATTTCAACTAATCCTGAATCGAAAATTACGCTGTAGATCATTATTGGTGTATCCTTTTGTCTGTTTCATTTACTCTTGTCTCTCTCACCGAATCTTTTCTCTTTCTCTCCGTCCTTCTCTCTCTACACTTCTCCCCGTCACACATACGTACACATGCCCAGAAAGCCATCAGTTTTTTGTGTTACTCTTCATAGCTGACTCTGTATAAAAATTAAAACTAATTTCAACTAATCCTGAATCGAAAATGACGCTGTAGATCATTATTGGTGTATCCTTTTGTCTGTTTCATTTACTCTTGTCTCTCTCACCGAATCTTTTCTCTTTCTCTCCGTCCTTCTCTCTCTACACTTCTCCCCGTCACACACATACGTACACATGCCCAAAACCATCAGTTTTTGTGTTACTCTTCATAGCTGACTCTGTATAAAAAATTAAAACTAATTTCAACTAATCCTGAATCGAAAATGACGCTGTAGATCATTATTGGTGTATCCTTTTGTCTGTTTCATTTACTTTGTCTCTCTCACCCGAATCTTTTCTTTCTCTTCTCTCCTTCTCTCTCTACACCATCTCCCCGTCTTCACATACGTATAAAATGCACAAACCTGGCCACAAAACCATCAGTTTTCCTTTTTACTGTTCATAGCTGACTCTGTATAAAATTAAAACTAATTTCAACTAATCCTGAATCGAAAATGACGCTGTAGATCATTATTGGTGTATCCTTTTTGTCTGTTTCATTTACTCTTGTCTCTCTCACCGAATCTTTTCTCTTCTCTCTCCTTCCTTCTCTACACTTCTCCCCGTCACACATACGTACACATGCCCAGAAAACCATCAGTTTTTGTTTACTCTTCATAGCTGACTCTGTATAAAATTAAAACTAATTTCAACTAAACCTGAATCGAAAATTACGCTGTAGATCATTATTGGTGTATCCTTTTGTCTGTTTCATTTTACTCTTGTCTCTCTCACCGAATCTTTTCTCTTTCTCTCCGTCCTTCTCTCTCTACACTTCTCCCCGTCACACATACGTACACATGCCCAGAAAGCCATCAGTTTTTTGTGTTACTCTTCATAGCTGACTCTGTATAAAAATTAAAACTAATTTCAACTAATCCTGAATCGAAAATGACGCTGTAGATCATTATTTTTGTCTGTTTCCTTTGTCTGTTTCTCTCTATTTACTCTTGTCTCTCTTTTTGTGTTACTCTTCATAATCTTTTCTCTTTCTCTCCTTTTGTCCTTCTCTCTCTACACTTCTCCCCGTCACTACATACGTACACATGGCCAGAAAAACCATCAGTTTTTTGTGTTACTCTTCATAGCTGACTCTGTATAAAAATTAAAACTAATTTCAACTAAACCTGAATCGAAAATTACGCTGTAGATCATTATTGGTGTATCCTTTTGTCTGTTTCATTTACTCTTGTCTCTCTCACCGAATCTTTTCTCTTTCTCTCCGTCCTTCTCTCTCTACACTTCTCCCCGTCACACATACGTACACATGCCCAGAAAGCCATCAGTTTTTTGTGTTACTCTTCATAGCTGACTCTGTATAAAAATTAAAACTAATTTCAACTAATCCTGAATCGAAAATGACGCTGTAGATCATTATTGGTGTATCCTTTTGTCTGTTTCATTTACTCTTGTCTCTCTCACCGAATCTTTTCTCTTTCTCTCCGTCCTTCTCTCTCTACACTTCTCCCCGTCACACATACGTACACATGCCCAGAAAAGCCATCAGTTTTTTGTTTACTCTTCATAGCTGACTCTGTATAAAAATTAAAACTAATTTCAACTAATCCTGAATCGAAAATTACGCTGTAGATCATTATTGGTGTAGATCATTATTGGTGTCTCTCATCCTTTTGTCTGTTTCTCTCTCTATTCTACTCTTGTCTTCTCTCACTAATTTCAACTAATCCTGAATCTTTTCTCTTTCTCTTTTGTCCGTCCTTCTCTCTCTCTCACAATCTTTTCCCTCTCCGTCACTCTCTCTACACTTCTCCCCGTACGTACACATGCCCAGAAAACCATCAGTTTTTTGTTACTCTTCATAGCTGACTCTGTATAAAAATTAAAACTAATTTCAACTAAACCTGAATCGAAAATGACGCTGTAGATCATTATTGGTGTATCCTTTTGTCTGTTTCATTTACTCTTGTCTCTCTCACCGAATCTTTTCTCTTTCTCTCCGTCCTTCTCTCTCTACACTTCTCCCCGTCACACATACGTACACATGCCCAGAAAACCATCAGTTTTTTGTGTTACTCTTCATAGCTGACTCTGTATAAAAAATTAAAACTAATTTCAACTAATCCTGAATCGAAAATTACGCTGTAGATCATTATTGGTGTATCCTTTTGTCTGTTTCATTTACTCTTGTCTCTCTCACCCCGAATCTTTTCTCTTTCTCTCCGTCCTTCTCTCTCTTTTCTCTTTCTCTCCGTCCTTCTCTCTCTACACTTCTCCCCGTCACACATACGTACACATGCCCAAAAACCATCAGTTTTTTTTTGTTTACTCTTCATAGCTGACTCTGTATAAAATTAAAACTAATTTCAACTAATCCTGAATCGAAAATGACGCTGTAGATCATTATTGGTGTATCCTTTTGTCTGTTTCATTTACTCTTGTCTCTCTCACCGAATCTTTTCTCTTTCTCTCCGTCCTTCTCTCTCTACACTTCTCCCCGTCACACATACGCACACATGCCCAGAAAAACATCAGTTTTTTGTTACTCTTCATAGCTGACTCTGTATAAAAATTAAAACTAATTTCAACTAATCCTGAATCGAAAATGACGCTGTAGATCATTATTGGTGTATCCTTTTGTCTGTTTCATTTACTCTTGTCTCTCTCACAGAATCTTTTCTCTTTCTCTTTCTCTCTCTACCTTCTCCCGTCACACATACGTACACATGCCCAGAAAGCCATCAGTTTTTTGTGTTACTCTTCATAGCTGACTCGTCACAAATACGCACAACTAATCCTGAATCGAAAATGACGTGTCATTATTGGTGTATCCTTTTGTCTGTTTCATTTACTCTTCTCTAGCTGATCTTTTCTCTTTCTCTCCGTCCTTCTCTCTCTAACTTCTCCCCGTCACACATACGTACACATGCCTGAAAGCCATCAGTTTTTGTGTTACTCTTCATAGCTGACTCTGTATAAAAATTAAAACTAATTTCAACTAAACCTGAATCGAAAATTACGGTGTAGATCATTATTGGTGTATCCTTTTGTCTGTTTTTTTTACTCTTGTCTCTCTCACCGAATCTTTTCTCTTTCTCTCCGTCCTTCTCTCTCTACACTTCTCCCCGTCACACATACGTACACATGCCCAGAAAGCCATCAGTTTTTTGTGTTACTCTTCATAGCTGACTCTGTATAAAAATTAAAACTAATTTCAACTAAACCTGAATCGAAAATTACGGTGTTGATCATTATTGGTGTATCCTTTTGTCTGTTTCATTTACTCTTGTCTCTCTCACCGAATCTTTTCTCTTTCTCTCCGTCCTTCTCTCTCTACACTTCTCCCCGTCACACATACGTACACATGCCCAGAAAGCCATCAGTTTTTGTGTTACTCTTCATAGCTGACTCTGTATAAAAATTAAAACTAATTTCAACTAAACCTGAATCGAAAATTACGCTGTAGATCATTATTGGTGTATCCTTTTGTCTGTTTCATTTACTCTTGTCTCTCTCACCGAATCTTTTCTCTTTCTCTCCGTCCTTCTCTCTCTACACTTCTCCCCGTCACACATACGCACACATGCCCAGAAAACTATCAGTTTTTTGTTTACTCTTCATAGCTGACTCTGTATAAAATTAAAACTAATTTCAACTAAACCTGAATCGAAAATTACGCTGTAGATCATTATTGGTGTATCCTTTTGTCTGTTTCATTTACTCTTGTCTCTCTCACCGAATCTTTTCTCTTTCTCTCCGTCCTTCTCTCTCTACACTTCTCCCCCGTCACACATACGTACACATGCCCAGAAAGCCATCAGTTTTTGTGTTACTCTTCATAGCTGACTCTGTATAAAAATTAAAACTAATTTCAACTAATCCTGAATCGAAAATTACGGTGTTGATCATTATTGGTGTATCCTTTTGTCTGTTTCATTTACTCTTGTCTCTCTCACCGAATCTTTTCTCTTTCTCTCCGTCCTTCTCTCTCTACACTTCTCCCCGTCACACATACGTACACATGCCCAGAAAGCCATCAGTTTTTTGTGTTACTCTTCATAGCTGACTCTGTATAAAAATTAAAACTAATTTCAACTAAACCTGAATCGAAAATGACGCTGTAGATCATTATTGGTGTATCCTTTTGTCTGTTTCATTTACTCTTGTCTCTCTCACCGAATCTTTTCTCTTTCTCTCCGTCCTTCTCTCTCTACACTTCTCCCCGTCACACATACGTACACATCAGTTTTTGCCTTCATAGCTGACTCTGTATAAAATTAAAACTAATTTCAACAAACCTCAGTTTTTGATCATTATTGTTATCCTTTTGTCTTTTCATTTAGCTTGTCTCTGTATAAAATCTTTTCTCTTTCTCTCCGTCCTTCTTTCAACTAAACCTGAATCGCCCAAAATCAGTTTTCTGTTAGATTCATTACTCTGTGTTAAAACTATCCTTTTCGTCTGTTTTATTTACTCTTGTCTCTCTCACTCTTGAATCTTCTTTTCTCTTTCTCTCCGTCCTTCTCTCTCTACACTTCTCCCCATAGCTGTCTGAACATACGTACACATGCCCAGAAAACCATCAGTTTTTTGTGTTACTCTTCATAGCTGACTCTGTATAAAAATTAAAACTAATTTCAACTAAACCTGAATCTGAAAAAATGACGGTGTAGATCATTATTGGTGTATCCTTTTGTCTGTTTCATTTACTCTTGTCTCTCTCACCGAATCTTTTCTCTTTCTCTCCGTCCTTCTCTCTACACTTCTCCCCGTCACACATACGTACACATGCCCAGAAAACCATCAGTTTTTGTGTTACTCTTCATAGCTGACTCTGTATAAAAATTAAAACTAATTTCAACTAAACCTGAATCGAAAATGACGCTGTAGATCATTATTGGTGTATCCTTTTGTCTGTTTCATTTACTCTTGTCTCTCTCACCGAATCTTTTCTCTTTCTCTCCGTCCTTCTCTCTCTACACTTCTCCCCCGTCACACATACGTACACATGCCCAGAAAGCCATCAGTTTTTTGTGTTACTCTTCATAGCTGACTCTGTATAAAAATTAAAACTAATTTCAACTAAACCTGAATCGAAAATGACGCTGTAGATCATTATTGGTGTATCCTTTTGTCTGTTTCATTTACTCTTGTCTCTCTCACCGAATCTTTTCTCTTTCTCTCCGTCCTTCTCTCTCTACACTTCTCCCCGTCACACATACGTACACATGCCCAAAAACCATCAGTTTTTTGTTTTACTCTTCATAGCTGACTCTGTATAAAAATTAAAACTAATTTCAACTAAACCTGAATCGAAAATGACGCTGTAGATCATTATTGGTGTATCCTTTTGTCTGTTTCATTTACTCTTGTCTCTCTCACCGAATCTTTTCTCTTTCTCTCCGTCCTTCTCTCTCTACACTTCTCCCCGTCACACATACGTACACATGCCCAGAAAGCCATCAGTTTTTTGTGTTACTCTTCATAGCTGACTCTATAAAAATTAAAACTAATTTCAACTAAACCTGAATCGAAAATTACGGTGTTGATCATTATTGGTGTATCCTTTTGTCTGTTTCATTTACTCTTGTCTCTCTCACCGAATCTTTTCTCTTTCTCTCCGTCCTTCTCTCTCTCTTCACTTCTGTATAAAAATTAAAACCCGTCCTGAATCACAAATTACGTGTTGATCATTATTGGTGTATCCTTTGTCTGTTTCATTTAACCATCTCAGTTTTTCTGTTTCTCTCTACACTTCTTCATAGCTGACTCAGTTTTTGTGTTATAAAACTCTGTAAAAAATTAAAACTAATTTCAACTAAACCTGAATCGAAAATGACGCTGTAGATCATTATTGGTGTATCCTTTTGTCTGTTTCATTTACTCTTGTCTCTCTCACCGAATCTTTTCTCTTTCTCTCCGTCCTTCTCTCTCTACACTTCTCCCCGTCACACATACGTACACATGCCCAGAAAGCCATCAGTTTTTTTGTGTTACTCTTCATAGCTGACTCTGTATAAAAAATTAAAACTAATTTCAACTAAACCTGAATCGAAAATTACGGTGTAGATCATTATTGGTGTATCCTTTTGTCTGTTTCATTTACTCTTGTCTCTCTCACCGAATCTTTTCTCTTTCTCTCCCCCGTCCTTCTCTCTCTACACTTCTCCCCGTCACACATACGTACACATGCCCAGAAAGCCATCAGTTTTTGTGTTACTCTTCATAGCTGACTCTGTATAAAATTAAAACTAATTTCAACTAAACCTGAATCGAAAATGACGCTGTTGATCATTATTGGTGTATCCTTTTGTCTGTTTCATTTACTCTTGTCTCTCTCACCGAATCTTTTCTCTTTCTCTCCGTCCTTCTCTCTCTACACTTCTCCCCCGTCACACATACGTACACATGCCCAGAAAACCATCAGTTTTTTGTTTACTCTTCATAGCTGACTCTGTATAAAAATTAAAACTAATTTCAACTAAACCTGAATCGAAAATGACGCTGTAGATCATTATTGGTGTATCCTTTTGTCTGTTTCATTTACTCTTGTCTCTCTCACCGAATCTTTTCTCTTTCTCTCCGTCCTTCTCTCTACACTTCTCCCCGTCACACATACGTACACATGCCCAGAAAGCCATCAGTTTTTTGTGTTACTCTTCATAGCTGACTCTGTATAAAAATTAAAACTAATTTCAACTAAACCTGAATCGAAAAATGACGCTGTAGATCATTATTGGTGTATCCTTTTGTCTGTTTCATTTACTCTTGTCTCTCTCACCGAATCTTTTCTCTTTCTCTCCGTCCTTCTCTCTCTACACTTCTCCCCGTCACACATACGTACACATGCCCAGAAAGCCATCAGTTTTTGTGTTACTCTTCATAGCTGACTCTGTATAAAATTAAAACTAATTTCAACTAAACCTGAATCGAAAATGACGCTGTAGATCATTATTGGTGTATCCTTTTGTCTGTTTCATTTACTCTTGTCTCTCTCACCGAATCTTTTCTCTTTCTCTCCGTCCTTCTCTCTCTACACTTCTCCCCGTCACACATACGTTACTCTTCATGACTCTGAATAAAAATTAAAACTAATTTCAACTAAACCTGAATCGAAAATGACCATCAGTTTTTTTGTCTGTTTCATTTACTCTTCATTTAGCTGACTCTGTATAAAATCCTAAAACCGTCAATTTCAACTAAAAAGCCATCAGTTTTTGTGTTAAATGACTCTGTATAAAAATTAAAACATTTCAACTTGAATCGAAAATGACGCTGTATTATTGGTGTATCCTTTTGTCTGTTTCATTTACTCTTGTCTCTCTCACCGAATCTTTTCTCTTTCTCTCCGTCCTTCTCTCTCTACACTTCTCCCCGTCACACATACGCACACATGGCCACAAAACCATCAGTTTTCTGTTACTCTTCATAGCTGACTCTGTGCAAAATTAAAACTACTTTCAACTAAACCTGAATCGAAAATGACGCTGTAGATCATTATTGGTGTATCCTTTTGTCTGTTTCATTTACTCTTGTCTCTCTCACCGAATCTTTTCTCTTTCTCTCCGTCCTTCTCTCTCTACACTTCTCCCCGTCACACATACGTACACATGCCCAGAAAGCCATCAGTTTTTTGTGTTACTCTTCATAGCTGACTCTGTATAAAAATTAAAACTAATTTCAACTAAACCTGAATCGAAAATGACGCTGTGTAGATCATTATTGGTGTATCCTTTTGTCTGTTTCATTTACTCTTGTCTCTCTCACCGAATCTTTTCTCTTTCTCTCCGTCCTTCTCTCTCTACACTTCTCCCCGTCACACATACGTACACATGCCCAGAAAACCATCAGTTTTTGTGTTACTCTTCATAGCTGACTCTGTATAAAATTAAAACTAATTTCAACTAAACCTGAATCGAAAATGACGCTGTAGATCATTATTGGTGTATCCTTTTGTCTGTTTCATTTACTCTTGTCTCTCTCACCGAATCTTTTCTCTTTCTCTCCGTCCTTCTCTCTCTACACTTCTCCCCCGTCACACATACGTACACATGCCCAGAAAAGCCATCAGTTTTTTGTGTTACTCTTCATAGCTGACTCTGTATAAAATTAAACTAATTTCAACTAATCCTGAATCGAAAATGACGCTGTAGATCATTATTGGTGTATCCTTTTGTCTGTTTCATTTACTCTTGTCTCTCTCTCACCGAATCTTTTCTCTTTCTCTCCGTCCTTCTCTCTCTACACTTCTCCCCGTCACACATACGTACACATGCCCAGAAAGCCATCAGTTTTTTGTGTTACTCTTCATAGCTGACTCTGTATAAAAATTAAAACTAATTTCAACTAAACCTGAATCGAAAATGACGCTGTAGATCATTATTGGTGTATCCTTTTGTCTGTTTCATTTACTCTTGTCTCTCTCACCGAATCTTTTCTCTTTCTCTCCGTCCTTCTCTCTCTACACTTCTCCCCGTCACACATACGTACACATGCCCAGAAAGCCATCAGTTTTTTTGTGTTACTCTTCATAGCTGACTCTGTATAAAAATTAAAACTAATTTCAACTAAACCTGAATGAATCGCTGTTGATCATTATTGGTGTATCCTTTTGTCTGTTTCATTTACTGTGTCTCTCTCACCGAATCTTTTCTTTTCTCTCCCTTCTCTCTCTACACTTCTCCCCTCACACATACGTATCCTTTTTTTTGTCTTACTTTCATTTACTCTGTGTCTCTCCTCAAAATGACCTGAGATCTTTTGGTGTATCCTTTTGTCTGTTTCATTTACTCTCCTCACCGTCCTTCTCTCCTTCCTTCTCTCTCTACACTTCTCCCCGTCACACATACGTACACATGCCCAGAAAGCCATCAGTTTTTGTGTTACTCTTCATAGCTGACTCTGTATAAAATTAAAACTAATTTCAACTAATCCTGAATCGAAAATGACGCTGTAGATCATTATTGGTGTATCCTTTTGTCTGTTTCATTTACTCTTGTCTCTCTCACGAATCTTTTCTCTTTCTCTCCGTCCTTCTCTCTACACTTCTCCCCGTCACACATACGTACACATGCCCAGAAAGCCATCAGTTTTTGTGTTTACTCTTCATAGCTGACTCTGTATAAAAATTAAAACTAATTTCAACTAATCCTGAATCGAAAATGACGCTGTAGATCATTATTGGTGTATCCTTTTGTCTGTTTCATTTACTCTTGTCTCTCTCACCGAATCTTTTCTCTTTCTCTCCGTCCTTCTCTCTCTACACTTCTCCCCGTCACACATACGTACACATGCCCAGAAAGCCATCAGTTTTTTGTGTTACTCTTCATAGCTGACTCTGTATAAAAATTAAAACTAATTTCAACTAATCCTGAATCGAAAATGACGGTGTTGATCATTATTGGTGTATCCTTTTTGTCTGTTTCATTTACTCTTGTCTCTCTCTCACCGAATCTTTTCTCTTTCTCTCCGTCCTTCTCTCTACACTTCTCCCCGTCACACATACGTACATGCCATGCCCAGAAAGCCATCAGTTTTTTTAGATTTATCTTCATAGCTGAATCTTTTCTGTCCTTCTCTCTACACTTCTCCCCATCACAAAAATTAAAACTAATTTCAACTAATCTGAATCAAAAATAATTTCAAATAATCCTAGATCATTATTGGTGTATCCTTTTGTCTGTTTCATTTACTCTTGTCTCTCTCACCGAATCTTTCTCTTTCTCTCCGTCCTTCTCTCTCTACACTTCTCCCCGTCACACATACGTACACATGCCCATAAAGCCATCAGTTTTTTTTACTCTTCATAGCTGACTCTGTATAAAAATTAAAACTAATTTCAACTAAACCTGAATCGAAAATGACGCTGTAGATCATTATTGGTGTATCCTTTTGTCTGTTTCATTTTACTCTTGTCTCTCTCTCCCGAATCTTTTCTCTTTCTCTCCGTCCTTCTCTCTCTACACTTCTCCCTTCATCACACATAAACCAAAACTAATTTCATGCCCAAAAAGCCATCAGTTTTTTGTTACTCTTCATAGCTGACTCTGTATAAAATTAAAACTAATTTCAACTAAACCTGAATCGAAAATTTTTGACGCTGTAGATCATTATTGAATCGAAAAATGACGATGTATCATTTTGTCTCCTTTTTCATTTTACTTGTGTCTCTCTCACCGAATCTTTTCTCTTTCTCTCCGTCCTTCTCTCTCTACACTTCTCCCCGTCACACATACGTACACATGCCCAGAAAGCCATCAGTTTTTTGTGTTACTCTTCATAGCTGACTCTGTATAAAAATTAAAACTAATTTCAACTAATCCCTGAATCAAAAACACCTTACATTGTTGATCATTTGTGGTGTATCCTTTTGTCTGTTTTCATTTTTACTCTTGTCTCTCTCTGAATCTTTCTCTTTCTCCGTCCTTCTCTCTCTACACTTCTCCCCGTCACACATACGTCACACATGCCATGCAGAAAGCCATCAGTTTTTTTGTTTACTCTTCATAGCTGACTCTGTATAAAAATTAAAACTAATTTCAACTAAACCTGAATCGAAAATGACGCTGTAGATCATTATTGGTGTATCCTTTTGTCTGTTTCATTTACTCTTGTCTCTCTCACCGAATCTTTTCTCTTTCTCTCCGTCCTTCTCTCTCTACACTTCTCCCCGTCACACATACGTACACATGCCCACAAAACCATCAGTTTTTGTGTTACTCTTCATAGCTGACTCTGTATAAAATTAAAACTAATTTCAACTAAACCTGAATCGAAAATGACGCTGTAGATCATTATTGGTGTATCCTTTTGTCTGTTTCATTTACTCTTGTCTCTCTCACCCAATCTTTTCTCTTTCTCTCCGTCCTTCTCTCTCTACACTTCTCCCCGTCACACATACGTACACATGCCCAGAAAACCATCAGTTTTTTGTGTTACTCTTCATAGCTGACTCTGTATAAAAATTAAAACTAATTTCAACTAATCCTGAATTGAAAATTACGGTGTTGATCATTATTGGTGTATCCTTTTGTCTGTTTCATTTACTCTTGTCTCTCTCACCGAATCTTTTCTCTTTCTCTCCGTCCTTCTCTCTCTACACTTCTCCCCGTCACACATACGTACACATGCCCAGAAAGCCATCAGTTTTTGTTTACTCTTCATAGCTGACTCTGTATAAAAAATTAAAACTAATTTCAACTAAACCTGAATCGAAAATGACGCTGTAGATCATTATTGGTGTATCCTTTTGTCTGTTTCATTTACTCTTGTCTCTCTCACCGAATCTTTTCTTTCTCTCCGTCCTTCTCTCTCTACACTTCTCCCCCGTCACACATACGTACACATGCCCAAAAGCCATCAGTTTTTGTGTTACTCTTCATAGCTGACTCTGTATAAAAATTAAAACTAATTTCAACTAAACCTGAATCGAAAATTTTTTGTGTTTACGCTGTTGTAGATCATTATTGGTGTATCCTTTTGTCTGTTTCATTTACTCTTGTCTCTCTCACCTTTCTCTTTTCTCTCTTCCGTCCTTCCTTCTCTCTCTACACTTCTCCCCGTCACACATACGTACACATGCCCAGAAAGCCATCAGTTTTTTGTGTTACTCTTCATAGCTGACTCTGTATAAAATTAAAACTAATTTCAACTAAACCTGAATCAAGAAAATGACGGTGTAGATCATTATTGGTGTATCCTTTTGTCTGTTTCATTTACTCTTGTCTCTCTCCGAATCTTTTTCTCTTTCTCTCCGTCCTTCTCTCTCTCCCCGTCACACTTCTCCCCGTCACACATACGTACACATGCCCATTTTCAAAACCATCAGTTTTTGTGTTTCCTCTTCTCTAGCTGACTCTGTATAAAAATTAAAACTAATTTCAACTAAACCTGAATCGAAAATGACGCTGTAGATCATTATTGGTGTATCCTTTTGTCTGTTTCATTTACTCTTGTCTCTCTCACCGAATCTTTTCTCTTTCTCTCCGTCCTTCTCTCTACACTTCTCCCCGTCACACATACGTACACATGCCCAGAAAGCCATCAGTTTTTCTGTTACTCTTCATAGCTGACTCTGTATAAAAATTAAAACTAATTTCAACTAAACCTGAATCAAAAAATTACATTATTGGTGTATCATTTTGTCTGTATCCTTTTGTCTGTTTCATTTACTTCTTGTCTCTCTCACGAATCTTTTTTCTTTCTCTTCCGTCCTTCTCTCTCCTTTATTGGTGTCCTTTTGTCTGTTTCATTTCTCTTGCTCACATGCCCAAAGCCATCAGTTTTTTGTGTTACTCTTCATAGCTGACATCTGTTTTTGTGTTAATTAAAACTAATTTCAACTAATCCTGAATCGAAAATTACGCTGTTGATCATTATTGGTGTATCCTTTTGTCTGTTTCATTTACTCTTGTCTCTCTCACCAATCTTTTCTCTTTCTCTCCGTCCTTCTCTCTCTACACTTCTCCCCGTCTTTACGTACATGCCCAGAAAGCCATCAGTTTTTTGTGTTTTACTCTTCATAGCTGACTCTGTATAAAATTAAAACTAATTTCAACTAAACCTGAATCGAAAATTACGGTGTTGTAGATCATTATTGGTGTATCCTTTTGTCTGTTTTCATTTACTCTTGTCTCTCTCACCAGAATCTTTCTCTTTCTCTCCGTCCTTCTCTCTCTCTACACTTCTCCCCGTCACACATACGTACACATGCCCAGAAAGCCATCAGTTTTTTGTGTTACTCTTCATAGCTGACTCTGTATAAAAATTAAAACTAATTTCAACTAAACCTGAATCGAAAAATGACGTTGATCATTATTGGTGTATCCTTTTGTCTGTTTCATTTACTCTTGTCTCTCTCACCGAATTTTTTCTTTCTCTCCGTCCTTCTCTCTCTACACTTCTCCCCGTCACACATACGTACACATGCCCAGAAAGCCATCAGTTTTTTGTGTTACTCTTCATAGCTGACTCTGTATAAAAAATTAAAACTAATTTCAACTAAACCTGAATCGAAATTACGGTGTTGATCATTATTGGTGTATCCTTTTGTCTGTTTCATTTACTCTTGTCTCTCTCACAGAATCTTTTTCTTTTCTCTCCTTCCTTCTCTCTCTACACTTCTCCCCTGTCACACATACGTCCACACATGCCCAGAAATCTTTTCTTTCTCTCCGCCATTCTCCCCGTCAGTTTTTTGTGTTACTCTTCATAGCTGACTCTGTATAAAAAATTAAAACTAATTTCAACTAAACCTGAATCCGAAAATTACAGTTGATCATTATTGGTGTATCCTTTTGTCTGTTTCATTTACTCTTGTCTCTCTCACCAAATCTTTTCTCTTTCTCTCCGTCCTTCTCTCTCTACACTTCTCCCCGTCACACATCACGTACACATGCAGAAAGCCATCAGTTTTTTGTTTTACTCTTCATAGCTGACTCTGTATAAAAATTAAAACTAATTTCAACTAAACCTGAATCAAAATGACTGTTGATCATTATTGGTGTATCCTTTTTTTCTGTTTCATTTACTCTTGTCTCTCTCACGAATCTTTTCTCTTTCTCTCCGTCCTTCTCTCTACACTTCTCCCCGTCACACATACATACATATACCCAGAAAGCCATCAGTTTTTTGTATTTCTCTTCATAGCTGACTCTGTATAAAATTAAAACTAATTTCAACTAAACCTGAATCAAGAAAATTACGGGTGTTGATCATTCCTTGGTGTATCCTTTTGTCTGTTTCATTTACTCTTGTCTCTCTCACCAGATCTTTTCTCTTTCTCTCCGTCCTTCTCTCTCTACACTTCTCCCCGTCACACATACGTACACATGCCCAGAAAAGCCATCAGTTTTTGTGTTACTCTTTATAGCTGACTCTGTAAAAATTAAAACTAATTTCAACTAAACCTGAATCTTGTCAATTACGGTGTTGATCATTATTGGTGTATCCTTTTGTCTGTTTCATTTACTTTGTCTCTCTCACCGAATCTTTTCTCTTTCTCTCCCAGCCTTCCTCTGTGGCATCTCCCCGTCACACATTCCCTTGCTAAATTTTTTCAGTTTTTCATTCTCTTTCATAGCTGACTCTGTATAAAAATTAAACATTATTACCTTGCAGAATCGTAAATTACAGTTCCTTGTTTCCTATTTTGTTGGCTTTCAGTTCCTTCTAAATCTTTTCTCTTTCCTCCCATTGTACTGCATCTTAGTGGCATTATTACCTTGCAGATGTAGAGATTTATCCCTTGTTTCCTGTTAAGGATTGGCTTTCCAGTTCCTTCTAAAATCTTTCTCTTTCCCAGTGCCCTTGCATCTTAGTGGCATTATCACCTTGCAGATGTAGAGATTTATCCTTGTTTCCTGTTAAAGATTGGCTTTCCAGTTCCTTCTAAAATCTTTCTCTTTCACTCCCAGTAGCCCCTTGCATCTTAGTGGCATTATCACCTTGCAGAAGTAGAGATTTATCCTTGTTTCCTGTTTAGGATTGGCTTTCAGTTCCTTCTCTAAAATCTTTCTCTTTCCTCCCAGTAGCCTGCATCTTTGTGGCATTATCACCTTGCAGAGTAGAGATTTATCCCTTGTTTCCTGTTTAGGATTGGCTTTCCGTGTTCCTTCTAAAATCTTTCTCTTTCCTCCCAGTAGCCCCTTGCATCTTAGTGGCATTATCACCTTGGCCCTTGTTTCCTGTTAAGATTGGCTTTCAGTTCCTTCTAAAATATTTCTTTTCACTCCCAGTAGCCCCTTGCATCTTAGTGGCATTATCACCTTGCAGATGTAGAGATTTATCCCTTGTTTCCTGTTTAGGATTGGCTTTCCAGTTCCTTCTAAAATCTTTCTCTTTCCTCCCAGTAGCCCCTTGCATCTTTTGTTTCTCCCAGGCATTATCATTATCACCTTGCAGATGTGAGATTTCTCCCTTGTTTCCTGTTTAATTGGCTTTCCAGTTCCTTCTAAAATCTTTCTCTTTCACTCCCAGTAGCCCCTTGCATCTTAGTGGCATTATCACCTTGCAAAGTAGAGATTTATCCTTGTTTCCTGTTAAGGATTGGCTTTCAGTTCCTTCTAAATATTTCTCTTTCCTCCCCAGTAGCCCCTTGCATCTTAGTGGCATTATCACCTTGCAGAAGTAGAGATTTATCCCTTGTTTCCTGTTTAGGATTGGGTTTCCAGTTCCTTCTAAAATATTTCTCTTTCACTCCCAGTAGCCTTGCATCTTTGTGGCATTATCACCTTGCAGAAGTAGAATTTATCCTTGTTTCCTGTTAGGATTGGCTTTCCAGTTCATAAAATATTTCTTCTAAAATCTTTCTCTTTCACTCCCAGTAGCCCCTTGCATCTTAGTGGCATTATCACCTTTGCAGAAGTAGAATTTATCCCTTGTTTCCTGTTAAGGATTGGCTTTCCAGTTCCTTCTAAATCTTTCTCTTTCACTCCCAGTAGCCCCTTGCATCTTAGTGGCATTATCACCTTGCAAAGTAGAATTTCTCCTTGTTTCCTGTTAAGGATTGGCTTTCAGTTCCTTCTAAAATCTTTCTCTTTCACTCCCAGTAGCCCCTTGCATCTTAGTGGCATTATCACCTTGCAGATGTGAGATTTATCCCTTGTTTCCTGTTTAGGATTGGCTTTCAGTTCCTTCCAAAATCTACTTCATCTCTATACGCCTAATGACTTTTCCTGAACTCTGAAATGTCATTCACTATTTAAATCTTGACCTCTTCATGTCTAGAGTTAGCTGTTATCTTTCCTGTATAGACCCCCAAGTACTTCACTTGTTGCCCATTCTCATGGTCATACAACACTACCCAGTATCGCTCTATCTTGAAAGGCTCTTCAGCCTTGTATTATGTAAACATTAGTAAAAAAAAAATTTTTTAATTAATTTTAAAATTAAAACCAGAACTACTATTTTTTTTTATCGACCCTCGAAAAAGAAAGAATCTCTTTGTTTCGCAGAATCCCTCTATCTTGAGAGGCTCTTGAGCCTTGTATTAGGTGAACATTGATAAAATAATTTCTTTTTAAAGTTAATTTTAAAATTAAAACTAGAACTACTATTTTTTAATTGAATCTCGAAAAAAAAGAATCTCTTTGTTTCGCAGAAACCGTCTATGTTGAGAGGCTCTTGAGCCTTGTACTAGGTGAACATTAGTAAAATAATATTTTTTTTAAAAGTTCATTTTAAAATTAAATCCAGAATTAGTATTTTTTTGATCGACCCTCGAAAAAAAAAAAAAAAGAATCTCTTTGTTTCGCAGAAACCCTCTATCTTGAGAGGTTCTTGAGCCTTGTATTAGGTGAACATTAGTAAAATAATTTCTTTTTAAAGTTAATTTTAAAATTAAAACTAGAACTACTATTTTTTTTTGATCGAATCTCGAAAAAAAAAAAAAAGAATCTTTGTTTCGCAGAAACCCTCTATCTTGAGAGGCTCTTGAACCTTGTATTAGGTGAACATTAGTAAAATAAAAATTTTTTAAAGTTAATTTTAAAATTAAACCAAGATTTAGTATTTTCTTTTTTATTTTTTGATCGACCCTCGAAAAAAAAAAACATCTTCAAATTTAATTTTTTTTTTCTTTTCCAGTTGCTTTTGAAGAAGAACGAAAATGGCACCCGATACGCTCAAGACAAGATCAGTTGTCGCTCGCGAAAAACGACCCGTCCAAGACAGGTTAACGCCTACTGTACTGTCTCGGGGAAACGTTTTGGGACTTGAAACTTTCTCCTGTCGCTTAAAATCAACTTTCGTTTTTTCGGTAGTGCTCATGAGTTTCATTTGTACTGCGGACGGAGCCAAAATTTTATTTATCCCATCCCTCGAGTACAGCCATTGTAATTACATGCGAGGCCTTGCCGAGGAGTTGGTGCGCCGAGGTCACAGCGTTACGATGTACCTGTGCAAAGAAATGGACTACAGGGACTGTCCCGGTCCTAACATCGATGTCATAACGTACAAATGGACCGAATATAAAACTAATATGCCGTTTAAGAAACAAATGAACAAAGACATCTTCGAAGGACAATGGAAACGTCTTTTTGACCATATGGAGATAATCAAGCATTTCTTCTGCCAGATGATGGAAAATGACATGGAAAGCATCGAAAATCTGCGACGGAGGCGCTTCGATTTCGCCGTCATCGACGGCCTCTTTTTTTCGCGATGTTTCTATCTCGTTCCGTACAACCTGACGATTCCCTATCTGAGCATGGCCAGTGTCATCGAAGAGCTAGACAGCGGACAGCTTATCGCCCCAGGACTGTTTCCGAGCAAATATTCCGACTACACCAACGACATGACGTTCGTCCAACGTGTTTTGAACACGCTCTATTTCATAGTACCGCATATCGCCAAATTTTCCAAAGTCCCGACCGACACCTTTAAACTGGCACCGGGTCTAACCTCGGAGGACCTGGAAGAACTTTATAGAAAATCCGAACTGTTTCTCGAGAACGGCGACGTTCTCATGAACTACCCCAAGCCGGTTCTACCTAACTACATCCAAGTTGGAGGCTTAACAACTCGACCAGCTAAACCCCTGCCTCCTGATCTGAGAACCTTTTTCGATGGCGCCAAAAATGGAGCTATAATCGTATCTTTCGGAAGTGTTTTTGAAGACGACTCAAACGTGCTCACCCCAATTCTGCTGTCGGCACTCTCACGTCTTCCGCAGAGGGTACTTTTGAAAGCGTCCGAGGATAAGGACCTTGGTAATATCAAGACGGTCACATGGCTACCCTTAAACGACGCCCTCGCACACCCCAACACGCGGCTTGTTGTCTACCACTGCGGTAACAACGGTCATTTCGAAAGCATCTACCACGGTATACCCCTCGTTTGCCTGCCGATAATCGCTGACCAGTTCCAAATCGCCAAACGAGTAGAACATTTCAAGATGGGCGTTAAGATCGACATCCGCAAGCTCACGGCCCAGATCCTTGTCGACGCTATCAAAAAAGTCCTTGATGATCCGGCGTATACGCAGAGGGCGAAGAACTTCTCCAGGATCTTTCACAGCCGGCGCAAAACTCCAGCCGAGAGGGCCGCCGATGCTGTCGAAGACGTGATCCAGTTCGGCGGGCAACATTTACGATCCCAGCATGCGCCGAAAAACTGGTTCCTGCTTTTGCATCTCGATGTCTGGGTTTTTATATTTCTCGTTCTCCAACTGATTTTTGTGTCGATCGTTTGGTGCACGAGACGATTGCTACGGCAATGGCTACCCGATAGTTCAACCTCGACTTTCACCATTTTTATGTATATCTCCGCGCTTCTTTCAGCGTGGGTTTACCTTTATCTCTGAGATAAAAGCCGCCAATTCCAAGTCGAGGCGATTTTATTGAATGGGAGCCTGCTCATTTCACTTCGTTCCAGCCGACATCTCGTGTCGTACTGCTTACACATCGGTGTCGTCTGCCTCTTTGAAAAATAAATTGAAGATTTTTTTTTTCAACAGTAATAATGCAATCAAATTATGCACAGATATAAAACAAAAACCATATTGCAAGCATCATTTATAAAAATTTATACAAACCTAAATTTGTCCGAACGAACGATATTACATGTTCTAGAATATATCTTCTTTATATTTCCGAGATGAGGTTTTATAATTATTTACACTATTTACATTGTTCGAACTGCCGTCCTCATCTTCATTGCCTTACTCCCGTCGTTTCGGCCGTTGTACGCTCCAGCCTTCTTCAGGGTCTGTCTATATTTCTGAGATGAGGTTTTGTAATTATTTACACTATTTACATTGTTCGAACTGTCGTCCTCATCTTCATTGCCTTACTCCCGTCGTTTCGGCCGTTGTACGCTCCGGCCTTCTTCAGGGTCTGTCTATATTTCTGAGAGGAGGTTTTTTAATTATTTACCCTATTTACATTGTTCGGACTGTTGTCCTCATCTTCGTTGCCTTATTTCCGTCATTTCTGCCGTTGTACGCTCCGGCCTTCTTCAGGTGATTGGACTTTCGAAGAGAACCATTTATTTCGTCCACCGGGGTAGATTGTTCTAGTTCTACGTGCCATGCCTCTTCTCAGTGTCCGATGTCAATATTCCCGTCGTGAATATTGGCAAAACAAAGTTAAAGACAAAAAGTCCGAACAATGTGAATAGTGTAAATATTTCCTAGAATTATTCCATATTATTTGAATCTTTTATTTTAAAAACCTTTTTTCTATTAACACGATATTTCAGCCGGTGGATTCTTAGGCCTTCCTCGTTGCCTTAAACTTTTGCTATGAAACGCTATATTTGGTTGGTTAGAAAATTGTGACTCGCTTAGGTAACGGAAAGAAAACAACAAAATTTTATGGAGCAACACCAACATTTATTCTTCAAGATAATCTGTCATTATCGACAATTTTATCGGCGATCAGCCAGCATCCGAATCTGTCCTAGATACCCGTTCGCTGGCTTTGGATTAAAAAAAAAAATATTAAAAACAAACTTCCTCCACTTCATCAAAATGTTGAATCTCTGGTCACGGAGGAAGCGCGTCATTGAGCAGAATAGGCCATAGTCACTAGAAGCAGCATTGGGACTGAAAGGTGGATGTGGAAGAATCTCAACACCGTCCATCTGTTTGAACTTGTCAACCTGGTAATGTGTGGCCTCGCATTGTCTTGCTGAAACAAAGCCCGGCCTCGACTGACCAAAGCGGGATACTCCTTTTTTCGTTCGTTGTACACGCGATCTGGCTGCTGGCAATACGGTTTAACGTTGATGTCGCGACCATGTGGAACAAGCTCGAAATGCAGTATTCCTTGGAAATTTCACCAGACGGTGATCAAGATCTGTTATTTTCTTTCCGCTTCCTAAGTCTTTCTGGCTAATCTACTATATTCACCACTAACTGCAACGGCTTATGCTACTTGCCAAGCAGCTCTCCAGTACCAATTCAGTTAATTCGCGCAGATTTTAGTGTGAAGAGGTTTTCGACGAACCCTTGAATCTGGTTTTCATTAGAGAAAGTTTCCCCCCTCTCCATCATACCAATCGAAAAAAGTTAATAATCGGTCGGTGATAGGCCAGGCGAATATAACGGGTAGGTTGTAAGAGGCTAACCGAGTTCCATAAGTGTTTCTTATGTTAGTCTTCCTGTACAAGGCCTTGCTTTGTCATGGATAATTTTTTTAACTACTGAGGAGTGCGGTAAGCTTTCTGACAAAACCTTTATGGACATGTTACAGATGCTGGAGGTGTAAATGTGCATTTAATGTTTCATTGCATTTTAAGAACTCTAAAGGAATTATACCCCGACGATTCTGCCACCATACGCACAACATTGCATATTTATCATTGTTAATCCACTGCCTTTTGCATTCAACATTGTTGTATGCAACCCGCTTTTCATTGTCTGTTATATTTACGGAACGGGTCATTATTCCGTTGTGAAAGGATAGAGGGACGGCTTTGTTCGAATGGAAGTAAAATACCCAACTGTTTATTTCAATCATTTCACCCCAGGCAAGGCAATAAAGCCACGGAGACACAAGGGGTTACTGGGTGCTACAGAATGTGAGAAAAAATTACTATTAAGGAGAGAGGACAATAATAGAACAAGAATGAAGAAGACAGGAGATGACGATTGACATTGTATTTAAACTTTTGAAGATCAATGTTGACTGGGAAGTAAGAAGCCGGAAGAAGTGTTCCACAAGTGAGAAGTGCGATAGAAGAAACAGTTAGCATAGAACTTACGGTTTCAACTGCGAAATGATAAGATCATGCCGAGAATCAGTTTCTTCTCTCGCACGTCTACCTTGTGGAATTCGCTTCCTGCTACAAGGTTTCCAGCCAATTTTGATCTTTGAAGAATTTAAAAGCAACGCCAATCGTTGTCTGCTGTCTTCTTGATTACTCTTTTATTGTTCTCGCTCCTTAATAATATTTCTGTGTTTTTCGTAATTTTACCCACTCAGTAACGCCGTGAGTCTTAGTGGCTCTACTGCCTGCTATGGGGTGAGATGATTAAAAAAAAAAAACATAATACCACTCCCATAATGGTAAGACATTAATTACATAAAGGCATCATTGCCACTTGCCAAAATTCACAAGCACGACACAGATGACAGTTTCAAACAGGTAGCTCTAAAAATTTTCTACAAAAGAACATACCATGTTTAAAAAAAAGGCCCCAAACTTGATAAAAACAAAGCTTTATCATCAAAAAGTTTATATTGTTATTAACCATAGAATACTAATCATCAATTAAAGTGACTAACCATGGGTATATCATACCCGACTTTGAAAATATCAAAAATAAAATATTAAATATAAATCTTTATTTGAAATATTTTACATGCAGGCATTTCAAACTTTGTACTTTGAGTTAACATTAACAAGAACTGAAAAACATTATTTAGGTTAGAAAATCAGGTACTGAAAATTGTAATTAAAAATAGGAAAATTTGCGCTGGGTAATATATACCCATGGTTAGTGTTCTAGAGTTAAGAGGAAAGACCAAAGTATTTTTTGATTATTTTTTTGTAAGTTTTTAATCCTTTTTATCACGTTCGAAATTTTGGTTAAAAATCTTGTTTTTCTTGCATCTGCAAGTGCGGCATAGATTAGTATAGAGATTTTTACCGTCCTTTTTTGTTGGCGTTAAAAAACTGTGATTTCGAAATTCTTGCAAAAATCAAATAATTTTTAGGACTTATTAACAAATGAATTAAATTATTTTTTAATATTTTTAATTTGTTTTGTTTTTTGTTTTTTTAGAAAATCTTGGTAAATATATCACTCGATGAATCTCATGATCCTTGCTTTTCAAAAATTATAACCTGTATAATTTTCAAAAAATTCAACCTTAGCGTTGCGCTGAGACGCTCCAAAAGTTTGTATCCGTTAACAATAATATATTTCAAAAAAAAAAAAAAAATAAATGAATAAAAATAAAAACCATATTTCGATTCGCATTTAATTTTTTCGTCTCGGATGCTACCTGAATTTTACCACAAACAAAATAATTTCCATGCCTGAAGATGACTGAATGTACAGTTGAAAGTACTTCCGTATTAAAGAAAGACCTTATACAGCTTATAATTTTTAAAAACAAGGATCATATCATTCATCCAGTGATTTGTAGGTTAATGCAACTTCAAAATTTTATTTGCGAAAGGATTTCACCATTTTATATCATTAACTTTACTAATCTACTTTTTTATGAATGATTCATTGTAATATATATATATATATATATATATATATATATATATATATATATATATGTATACATCTCAAGTATAGGATTGGTGTATACAGAATAAATTCCAATAACAAAAACAAAGTGCTCAATACAGAGTAGAGCAAATATAATTTATTCGAAAATTATAACATAAATATGTTATAAAATCACTACAAAAATAGGCATTTTGTTTCAACACATTAGGTATCTTATCAAATGATGGTGTTAACACTATCACTTGATAAGACACCAGATGTGTTCAAACAAAATGGCTATTTTTGTACTGCTTTTATAATATAGTTGTGTTATAATTTTCGAATAAATTATATATTATATATATATATATATATATATATATATATATATATCCAGGTAAGATGACAACGAATAGAGTACAATTCCAATGTTCGTAACATTTAATTTAAAAGAGGGTTCAATGCAAAGTAGAGCAATATTATTTATTTTAGGATATCCTAATATATATATATATATATATATATATATATATATATGTATATATATATATATTATTATATTACATCGAAAAACATGTCCAAATCACTACACAACTGCAGTCATGTTTTGATGCGTATATAACGATCTCATCAGGTGATTGTAAATTACTGGCGAGTGAACGATTTATTTAGATTTAAAAGCAAAATATACTTTTTCTTTTAAAAAAAAAAAGAAAAAAAAAGAAAATAAAAAAGAAAAGAAAAAAAGTGTGGCGATTATAAGGTTTGTGAGCTTTACTCAGATCTATTTTATAACCTCCCACCCATTTTTCGATTTTTTTTTTCGATTTTGACATGCTTTTCGATGTAATAGTCTAAAATGAAGTATATATATATATATATATATATATATATATATATAATATTCTAATGAAATGACTTAGCTAGTTTTGTAGTAAGTGCCATTAATATTACTTAAATAATATTTAAATATAAAAGTTTAAAAATTGTAATTTACATATACTTTGATATGGAAAAATAATTTTACTTACTATGAGTAATTTTCATTCTGTTATAAAGTAATATAGTCTATTAAAACTAACAATGAAAATATTTAAAAATTTAAAAATTGTAATTAAAATTGTAGTTAAATT